GAAAAAATACATAAAAACAAAGATATTAAAAAGGAATGTGCTTTGATCTTTTGGTAAAGATTTCCATAGTAAATATATAAACTCACACACAGATCAAAATAAATAAATCAATAGAAATATTTTGTTCCTCCCCATCTTGATGATGATATAGAGTAATCTTCAGTATGTAGTCTCAGTATAGATTTTAGGGCTGAAACAATTAATTAGATTAATCGATTATTGAAATAATCTTCAACTAATTTAGTAATTGATTAATCGTTAACAGGAGTATAGTGACTCTGAAACATGCCTTAGAGACAGAGTAACCCACTTAGAGCAGTAATAATACCAAAATTGTAAAAAAAAAAACAAAACGAAAAAAAAAAACAATTTGCATTTAAAACAAAATAATGTTTTTATCTGTCAATATGCTCTATCCAGAACCTCTCAACTGGAAAACTTTTAGTTTCACCTGGTTTAATTTGGTAAAAAAATCTTTCTGAAGGTACCTTTGTTAGTCCGATTATTACTTGAAAAAATAATGAACAGATTAATCGATTTGCATAATAATCGTTAGTTGCAGCCCTAATAGATTTGTGTTTGCATAGGTGTCAGTCAGGCAGCCGCTGATTGAAATCAGCCAATTTTCACTTGAAGGACTTTGAAAGTTTAAATACTGAAAAAAATCCTCATTGCCCCCTATGTTCTCTAAATGCAACAAAACATAAACAACAAACCATCTATGCTCAATAATCACATCAAACAACAGCTGCGATTTGTTTTAGTTTAGTACATTTAGTACATTTTTGTCCTCCTTTATGTTACAGTTGTAAAAAACCGAAAGGAAGAAAACTGAAATATGTGGTGTCTCCGATTGATTTAAATGAATCCTATTTAGATTCTGCATCAAGTCTTCTGTCTGTTAAAGCTTACCTCCGCCTACTGGGTGAGGTTTTACATTTAACTACTGTCACACGCTGCAATTTTAGAAAACAATAGCAGGCGAATACCTTAATAACTGAACATGTTAAAGATGTTATAAATATATCTGATCTGTTCTCTTCCGACTGTATCCCGCTCTCCTCTACCTTCTTAACATTTTCCTGTAATACCTGTGTCTTTACCTACTTGTTGTAAAGCTGTTACGGACTCCCTGTTAAGTCAACAGAGTAGCTATGCTTTAGCTGTTTCAATAGCTTCAGGGCCTAAAAGTTGAGGTAAAGCTGATCATAATCCACAAAGGAAGGAGGTCTGCGTTTCCACAGTTGGGAAAACTCTCCCTCTCCTGTGTTTTCTCGGCTGTTTACGTGGCCAGCCGCCCTCGGTTGTTAAGAGCACTCAGACCTGACCCAGGTACGCAGGCCCATTTGTCACCTGCAGCAGAAAATTGAGTTACAGCACAACCAAAGGCGAGCAGCTCTGTGTAATATCAAGTTGATTACATCAAAGTGGTGGCAAACCTCATTGGGCCGGGCACCCCAAGCTTGTCATCTCCAATCACAGGGCCTGTCAGGACTCCATCAGCCTCACGGCTAATTGGACCAACGCTAATGAAGCAGGCAAAACAAGTTTTCTACTGTGGAGGGAGAAGCCCTCTCAGACAGGAAAGAAAAAGAGGGAGAAGCTGTGTGTTTGCATGCATGTCTGTGTGTGTTTGAGAGACAATGAGAGAGCAATGCTGTGTGTGTGTGTGTGTATATGTTGTTGGGGTGTGTGTAGATTTTTCATGCAAGTCTCAAGGTTGCAGTGGGCTGACTCTCCCCCTAAGTCCCTAATCAAGGCCCATCATCTGTCATCCTTTTCTTTGCTCTCTCTATCACCATGCTCTGTGCTGCAATCAATTCATCATCACCCTTTGTGTGCCACTGAACAGTTGACAACTTTATAACTTGCAGCTGCACAGGCTGACTGACAGGGGTGGAAGGGGAGCATGAAAAAATGAAGAAATGAATAGATGAATGAATGAACAAAGAAGCGTGGTTGCAGGGAGAAAAAATTGTTTTCTAAAAACACAAAACGATCTATATTACAGCCTTTTATTCTCTTTCGTCAACAGAGAAACAGCAGTGCGGAGGGGAGGCGAGAGTGGAGAGCAGAGGAGGACATGAAGAAGAAGAAGAAGGAAAAAAAAAAAACATCCTTCTCACTGATCTGAAATCAGAAAGCTTTCAGTCATTCTTTATGTGCTCCCCGCGGCCACTCTTAGCCAGTGAGCATGTACATTAGGGCTGGGGCATTTTGATGAAATAAAAGCCCAGGCCAGCTTATGGCTAAACAGAATGGGAGCACTCACTCAGCCTGTCTCTGATTGACCATTAAAGCCATTGATGAATGGGCCTGTCAGGGGAGAGACAATTAAATCAAACATGAAACAAAGCCGTTGTGACGGCCCAGTCTGACAGAGCAAACCCATTCCTCCCCTCCATTACATAGCACACGGCTCCTTTTACAACCCCTAACCCACTCCTCCCGCCTCCTCTGCCCACTGTATGCCTGTTACTGTGAGTCCCTGTGTGTGTTCAAAAGTGAACAAGTGAGTGTGATGTGCTCTTTTTGGAAGTGTGTGTACAATTTCTTACTGTGAAACCACTTTGCCCCCTCCTATTCTTTCACTTTTCATGAGTCACTTCACCATCAGTGGCACAAACTGAGCATACTTGTATTACATTGTTAGGACCTTTACTGTTACATTAACCTTTCCTCTCAGGACTTATTACCACATGCAATCCAAAGTCCTAAAGAAAGTCTTGATGTCGACATCCTTTTTAGGCTTATTGTGTGAATTATATTCAGGGATAGTCTTATGTCGTATGGAGTAACTCCAGGGGCATAAATTCCACAGAAAGTCCCAATAAAAACAAAACAAAAAAACCCACATCTACTTGTATGAGTGCCCTTTATCACAGAGTATGTAAAAAGTACACAGGCCCTTTCAGTGTGTTTTACACGTGACGTCAGGGGCCCAAAGCACATGGTGGGAAGTGATTTTCTGATGCAAATCGGGAAGGATCAGATGAAAGCCGCATGACAGCCAATCAATCAACCGTCAAATCAGACATGGCAACTGTCGATTATGGCTCCTTCCAGCCCACGAAACTCCCATTGTCCACACTCAGATTGTTTATCTTTTCTGAAATTCTAAAAAAAAAAAACTATATATATATATATATATATATATATATATATATATATATATATATATATATATATATATATATATATATGCGCTCATAGTGTAGAATAAGTTGTGCGCTTGGACCTAAATGCGCACAAAGCTCCCCGCTTTGATTTGAGGTAACCTACGCCTCAGGCAATCATCCAAAATACACTTAACTGTCTTGAAATGATCAGTTTGGATTGTTTACAGCCACAAAACTTTCTGACAATAGACTGATCCGAGTCGCACCACAGAAACACATAAGATTAGAATAAAACTGTTATCCGCTTGGAGAAAAAGGTACGTGACAGTCTTAATAAGCTCTCACAACAGTGGCCAAAAGTGCCAAAGCGCATCGTCAGACTGAGCAAAAGCCATAAAGTGGAAACGGAAATGCGGTGACTGGAAAGTGAGGCTTATAAAATCTCGTAAACATGATGTTAGGCGCTTATCTAGTTGGATCCACATACCTGCTGCGCGCTTCGGCGCTTCTTGTTTCCTCCGTGGCATTTTTTCTTTTTTGCGCGACGATTTCCGTCAGAAGTCTTTCTTTTTTTCTTATTCTTTCATGCACCTCCTCGTCGTATCCTGGAAGATCCACCTCTACTCAGAAAAAGATTTACGCCTTCGTGTTGTAGACGGCACAACATCGGAGAGTCCGACAGGAAGGGAATAGAAATCGAGGGGGGGCAGATGAACCTGGAAATGAACCATAGGTGTTTGTTGTTGGTATTGTTGTGATTAGCCGGAGCGATCGCGTTGGGAATGTCAGCGGGGATAGCCAGCGTCCACCTCGGCTGCCTGGTCTGGTAACAGGCAAAGTTGAGGGATAAGAGAGATGATCGCGTCACTCACAGCAGGAGAACGGGCAAACCCACCGCTCCGTTAACTCTTTACTCCTCAGAAAGGGGAGGGCACCGCGCGCAGGAGTCCACCTACCTCTGCGACCAGCGCTCACAAACTGATGCTTTAAAATCATATAGAGAACAAGTGCTACGTTACACCTTCTAACTGCTTATTCTTAGTTGTTTTTTCTTTTTTACTTACCGTGATTTGACATGCTGGAGCTTTTGGTCAGCCACAAGGAAAGCAAAAGTTTGAATGCGCAGGAAAACCTCTAATTTATTATTTTAGTGTTTTCACATCAGTTCAGATTTGTGGGAAAATATGCCATCAAAACACAAACTGCAGATTTAAGGTTTTAATTTTTGCTCCATAACACGTATCATATAATTGATCTAGGTGGTTAGATTGAGGTAGAAACAAATAATTCTCCTTAGTATTTAGTTTTTTTTTTTGTTTGTTTTTTTACATTTTCTTAAAAGAAGTAATACTGATTTTCATAAATTTTAACTCATGTAATGTTCTAGGCACACACGAAACCCCATCTGACTCTTCCGCAAGGGGCAAACAAGGCAAAGGACTGAACAATTGACCTCTGGTTCATGTATTATGATACTTTATACATATATATATCTATATATATATATATATATATATTTTTTTTTTTTTTTCACTATTTTTCAATGCTGCACTTTTGAAAGAAAAATTTAATTCTCCAGAGAGCTGTTCCAAACGAAATTTCTTTTTTGTTTTACATTTGTGTAAACAAAATGACAAATAAAATCTGTCTAAGTCTTAATATGGGTTATATAGGATACATGACATAGGTAAAAAGTGTGGACCATAGGTGGTAACTGAAACAATTTTCTTAAAACCTGTTCAAGGTCTAACTAGAACCTATTCAGGGTTTTGCCAGCATGGGTTACATTTGGTAAAATCAGGTGTTTCACATACAAGAAATCAGGATAAGCCCTGGAAAAAAGTGTCATGGGACCTTATGAAGGCTTAACTTGTAAGACAAGTATACCCAGTGGTGTGGTTTCTGAAGACATTCCACATACCGGTAATTAGAGGTGCAAATTAGACTGTTTTGTGGCTGATAATAATTTCCTTTTTTCTTTTCTTGTCTGACCTGCTTTTAGAAATCCACCCAGGTCTGATTTCTAAAGCACCATAAAACCGGAAAACATAGATGGTAGAAATTAATCCAGTGCGATACAAAAGAATCACAGAATCATGCATAATAAGCAATTAAAGCAGAGGTCCCTAGGACCCAGTAAATAAGACCCATGACTAAAGAAGAAAAGCCAGAGGCACCCTACTGAGGGGAAGCACAGGGCCATTTATACAATAACATGCTGAAAGTCCACACCAGAAATTCATTAGTTCATCCTAGTTTTAAATGTTTTCTGTTCAATTAGGCCTACTTTATTTAAAAAATAAAGGCTATTCAATTTTAAAATGTATACTATAATTTCAAATTAGTTTACATAAATGACCTCTGACTGCTGTTTGTAGAAATGTTTAAACACTATGTTTATGGTTTACTTGATCATCTAGATTTTTGTCCAGAAAGAAAAAGTTCACACTGGAAGTTTTGTGGGAATCCTAAACCTAGGACGTCTGTGTTTAATACATAAACCTAATCCTAAATCACTGGATAATAATCCTCAACCTAAGGTCAGTTGATATCGTTTGGCTTTATTCTATGTTTTAATTTGGGCCTGAGTTATGGTGTGCAATTCATGCACTGATTTTTAAAAATGGCAGCACCCTTCCCCTGTAGGACAGTACTCTTGAAAAAACCCAACTGATAAATTTATATAAAAAGAATATTTTTTTTAAAAGTAGTTTATCGACTGATTACCCTATTATGTTTGTAATCAAAGATCTAGCATGAAACACTAAAACTATTTCATTTTTGATCACTTTGGTTGTTTTCTTATGATCACCACTAATTTACTTATATTTAGTTTAATTTATCAATATCGCTCTCTTTAATGTCCTTGTGAAGTCATTGACTACCTAATGTTTGTCTTTTTTTCTTTTGCTTTTAGATTTGTAATTCAGTGAATAAAGTTATTGTTAAAAAATCTTTACTTCAAACTACAGTTATTTCGCGGAGGGCAAAATCATGCAGCCGATTGTAAATCTATGGTGTTAGATCGGTCTCAATTTTCACAAAAACACACATGTGATTCATACATGGACAAGGCAAGATCCACAAATGAACAGCATGACTGGTGCAAGCACAAAAAATCCACACACACAAAGGACAAGATTCACAGACGCACAGAACAATTGATGCAAGCACACAAGATGCACACATACGCAGAACAAGATTGACCAAAATATTTCTGGTCCATAAACAATTCTAAATTAAATGACCAAGTACCAGTGGTCATTAAACTTCACTGCATTTGTGTTTGGATTTCTGAGACTCCAGAAATACTTTGGTAAATCTTCTGTGAATCTTCTCCTTGGTGCGTGTGTATTTTTTTGTGCTTGTGTGAATCATGCTGTCCATGTGTGGATATTGTCCTGTACATGTACGAATTACATATTTGTATAATTGAGACCGATCTACCTCCATATAAAGCACAATGCATTTTCTTTGTGTTCACACAGGGGGGCACCAACTCCTCATTCCTATCAATGAAAAATAGGTGAAAGAAAACAATTAAGGGTGCAGATGATAGATTATAGATTTTTTATTTTTTTTGCAAACACTCATGCCATCCCTTGAAAGAGTGGCCCCCTGGTCAAAGAGCCATACCACTCATAAAACAACCATCTGAATTGAACACACATCTCTCTGTTACTCAAAAATTACATTTTAGGGCTTATTGAAATTTAACTTGCTTTACTATCAGTGAATATCATTTCATTTTTTTTAAATAGTTGGTTTTAACAAAAATTTTGTTAAAACCAAATATTACAACCTTTGTTTTTAATCACAAAATTTCTTTTCAACCGCTGCTCCGTCATATCATTTGAAAAAAACAAAAACAAATTCAATGCTTTTGTCAGATAAAGACATAACAAACTATAAAAACATAAAATAAATCGCCATGCACAAGGCTTACCTTAACTATAATTAAATACACACAAATTATAAGTTTGACGTTTCCTTTAGCAGGTTATATTAAATTAAGCTTAAAAAAGCAAAAACATATTTAGAAAGCTGTTCTTTGAACTCTCTCTAAAACTATAGTTAAAAAAATGACTGATTTGAATAATATTGTCGGAGCAAATAGCATAATGTAGGTGAAAAAATTTTAAACCAGAGGGCAAATGAGATTTAAAGTAATTACATTGAATCATCTTATAGTATTACCGTAAATTCTACTATGTTCCTACATATAAGGTTAAAGAAAGCAGCTAAATGTTACATTTCTTTACCTTAAATTAACCACTTTCCTCATATGTGCATGTTAGAGATCAAAGTAATTGAAGGAAGTAGTGTTTAGTCTTGGTAATGACCATGTTAATGATTTTTCGTTACTTCCTTTCATTTTTTCTCTCATCTCTGCAGTCTGAATGACCTAATGTCCCTTTTATGTGTACTACCTATTTTTTCAAAATCATAAGACCTTGCATTTATATAAAATATTACACAGATTTGCAAGTGAGTGTGTCAGACTCTCATCCTGTCTCTATACATGTGCATGAAAGCAGGGAGCGAGAATTAAAAGCATCTCTTTGAACATGATTTCCTCCATTCTCTCCTCTTTCTGCAAGACTACAGAGTCTCAGTTCCTGTCACTTTAACAACATGAAATTACAACCCAAATGAGATGTCAGGGGTTAGCGATGTCTCTAACAGAACTATACGGATATATTTCCTCCTATGGACTTGCCCCCACTCTGACCTCCCCCAGGAACAAGAAGTAACACGGTGATTGGCGTTTTTACAGCCAAATTAAACAGTCTTGCAGCTTGCTGAAGGCAGCAGGAGAAAGCAGCCTATCCAAAATTAGAGAGCCATCATCATGACAGAAAGTGGTGGGGACATGGTGTCATCCAGCCACTGTATCGATTAACCCATAAATAGTATATGGCCCCTTACACTGTGGCTCTCCCAGGCTTACACTGTAAATGGAAGTTATCTCAGCTGTGCATCTGTCTTGCTTTGCTCTATGCGTTAAAAACCTGACATCTAAAGACTGCAACCTGGCCTGTTCTTGTTACACTGTAACAACACTGTAACAATGCATCTGATTAGTCTAATGAAAAGGTTGTGCATAGTTTTATTGGGTGTGATAAACAAATAAGAGGTAATATATACAAAATTTATTCTATGCTTTAAATCATCTTTATTTTTAGGAAATCCATTTTTAAAGTTTTTTTTTTTTGCATTAAAGAAATGTTTTCAAATCCTCTTTCCTGTATCATATGTGATTCTCTCTAATGCCAGGTAGGCCAGCTGTATTATTCTCCACTTCCCTGCTCTCATCATCAGGATTATCATTAAAGGGGATCATCTGTCAAGCCTGCACTGATTTACAACAAGTGCAAGCAATCAATCTTAAAGTTGTGATTAAAAAGCTTGAGCTGCTTCTATTTTTCAATAGAAATCTTTTTTGGCAAAAACAGAGAGAGGCCTTTCAATTTCATAGCCTCCAGAACACTCAAGTATTCATTGCGCTCCACTTTTTTCTTTCAACCTCTCTGCGGGAGGCAGGACTCATGACATCTATGTATGCAGCTCCTATTCACAATGCTACATAGCCTTCAGATTTGTGCTTCAAGTGATCCTTCAATACCATCAATTTGCTCTCATTGGACTCCGCTCATTTAGACGTGGCCTGTCCAGAGAAGCTTAGAATTGCACAGCCAAAATTGTAAACTGTCAATGCAGGTCTCATAAGAAGAGCAATTCAGCATCACTTTGTCAGACTGTACGGACTAATCTTCTGTAACGAGGCAGAGCTGGGCTGCTTTTCTAAACAAATCTAAAAAGACCCCAAAAAAATAAATAAAAGGAGACTCCACCAAGTTGCCATTTGTTTTCTGAGAACAGATACCGCGTTTGTCCG